ATAGAGAAATAAATTATTGGCCGCACCCCTCCCTTCAGTCCACGGTACTACCCGGGCCTCCCCTGTCCCTCCTCTAGTGGTACCGCCCAGGCCTTAATCACCCCCATTCCGTGCGGTGGTATCTCCCAGGCTCCACATTCTCGGGAGTGGCGCTTCCCAAGGGGGTACCTTGACCTTCTCGCTCTCCTACTGGGATGCGTCCTACCCCGCCTATGCCCTGTGCCCCAGGACGGGAGCCTCCTGTAGTCCGTCCTCCCACCGCCGGGCCCTGCCCCGCATCCCGGCCTTATGCACTGCCCCTCCCGCCCGGCCCCGCCCAGGCACGGCCAGACCCTGCCCCGGGCACCGCCCGCCGAGCCATCCTACCACGCCTACCCCCACGCCTGCAGCTTCTCGTGAGGGGCGGCGACGGTCCCCTGTGGCAGGAGGAGCTGCCGCTGTTGTGGGTGAGGCGGCTGCTCTCTATTTTCAGATGTTGCTGTAGAAATAAAGACGGTTTGAATCTGAGCAGGGCTTGTTTTGAGGCGGAGGTCGGGGGCCCCCAGCGTCTCCATACTTGGTGGAGCCGGGAAGGATCGCGCCTGAGTGGGTTTGCTCACCCACTGTCTGCGCAGGTGGGCCTAAGTATTCTGCCCCACCTGGGAATTGTGTGGCGAACCCACAAGTCAGGTTTTCCCTAAAACCCTCACTTCTGGGATTCTAGAGACGGCGGGCTCTTGTGAGCTCTGCTCCTGACAGTTTTTAACTTTGAGTGAGTTTCCTGAGACTCAGTTTTTTCACCTATGAAGTGCGGGCAATGATACGCGGCTGCGAGTTAGGAGTGCCCAGTACACGAAGAACCCTGGACAAATGTATTAGCCTGTTACTAGCACCCACTTTCTCATTTAATGTTACCAGTGTGGGTGCTGAGAGGGTAAGGATGACTGCCTCCGTCAGACAAATGTGAAACGAGCGAAGCGCAGCGCTGTATTGAGCTTTTTAACACCGACGCGCAGTCAGGCAGTGCTCCAGCCTAGGTGCGTCCACTGTGCAAACTACAAACCCCAGAAGGCAATGCGCCAGCAGTGATGGGAGTGGACGGGGAGGCGCGGGCTCCCCGACTACGCCTGCGCGGCTGGTTTGAGTAGGAGAACGTGGCCGACTACAAGTTCCGAAAAGCAGCGCGGCGAGGCCCCAGACGACAACATTTGCGCCTGCGCATCGCGGGCGGGGCCTCTGGGGCGGAGCGGCCACCATCTTGGAACGGGAGGCGGAGCAGAGCTGACTGGGAGCGACCGAGCGGGCCGCCGCCGCCGCCATGAACCCCGAATAGTGAGTGAGCCCCGCCCGCGCCGTCCGGCGCAGCCTCGATCCCGAGTACGGGGTTGTACGCTTACCGGGGTTGTCTGGCCCGGGTCAGGACTGTGCGGCGCCCCCACATCCGGGTCTCTCTTCCGCTGACCCCCCCCCCTTACATCCGGGTTCTGCCCCTCCCCCCAGGGGCCCCAGGACCCCGGCTCAACACCCCGAGTCCTCACCCGGAGCCCATACGTGGCGACCCCGAGGGGCAGCTCTTGGAGCCCGAGACAGGCCTTATCGGTCAGATGACCCCGCAGTCCTGGTCATTTCAGGCCTCAGTTTCCTCACCTGCTGCTTGACAACTGTCCCGACGTTTTGGAGCCCGTCTCGATAGTTTCTGGTCTCGGGTTCAGGCTCCGACCCTTTAGGTCGGGCAGTAAATCTCTCTGCCCTCTTCTCCCGAAGCCCGGCTCCTGGAGCTTGCCCAGAAGCTGGCCAACTACGCGGGAGGCCCTGAAGTGCCTCTTGGGTCGCGTCTCCTGCAGGTCCTCTCCTCCGGGGCTACCTCCTACCCCTTTCCTGGGTCGCGCAGTCCTGTCGCTCCCGGCTGTCCGTCCTTTCCCGCCCTCTCCTCGCTTTTGCTCTGGCCCCCATCGCCACCGTCACACCCCTTCCCTTGGCTGTCACGCTGCCGGTGAAGTTTAGATGAATACGGAATTTGCTCTCCCCCTACCAGTGGGGTTCTCTGGTCCTCAAACTCTCCTCACTCTTGGTCACTCGCCCTGCGGGTAGATGGCCTACATCGCATGCCCAGGACGAATAGTTTTCCCCAAGTATCAGTTATTTTCTTCCTCTTCTGCCACTTCCTTTTTCTCCTCCACATCCAGGTCTCAGGTTTCCTTGGGGAAGGGTGAAGCTCTGACCTGGATTGGGAGGGGAACAGAGAAGGGAACCAGCAGGCTCTCGCAGGGACTTTGGAGTCTGACAAACCTGGTTTGAGTCTTAAAGCGATAAACTGTGTAAGTTAGGGCAAGTCACTTCCCTTCTCTGGCCTCTGGTTTCCTCATTAGTGGACAATGACAAAAGTGACATCATTGGACTGTTGTGAAGATTAAATGAGATGATGCATTTTAAGTACTTCACACGGGGTCAGTCACAAGTTGGAACTCAATAATATTAAATGTGATTACCTTTTACCTTTTTTTTTTTTGAGACAGGGCCTCTGTCACTCAGGTTGAAGTGCAGTGGTGTGATCATGGCTCAGTGCAACCTCCAACTCTTGGGCTCAAGCAGTCCTCCTTCCTTGGCCTCCTGAGTAGCTGGGAATACAGAGGCACACCACCACATCTGGCAAATTTTTAAATTTTTTGTAGAGACATGGTCTTGATATGTTTCCCAGCCTGGTCTCAAACTCCTGGGCTCAAATGATCCTCGTGCCTCAGCCTCCCAAAGTGTTGGGATTACAGGTGTCAGCCACTGCACCCAGCCTTAAGTACAATTTTCATTGCAACTTGACCACCTCTTCCTGGTGACTTCATAACAGGTTGTTTGTTGTTGTTAAAGAGACAGGGTCGGCCAGACACAGTGGCTCACGCCTGTAATCCCAGCATTTTGGGAGGCTGAGGCGGTGGATCACTAGGTCAGGATATTGAGACCATCCTGGCCAACATGGTGAAACCCCGTCTTTAGCTGGGTGTGGTGGCATGTGCCTGTAATCCCAGCAACTTGGGACGCTGAGGTGAGAGACTCAATTGAACCAGGGAGTTAGAGGTTGCAGTGAGCCGAGATCACCCCATTTTACTCCAGCCTGATGACAAAGCAAGACTCCGTCTCAAAAAAAAAAAAAAAGACAGGGTCTTGTTACATCACCCAAGGCTGGTCATGCACTCCTGGGCTCCAGGAATCCTCCTGCTTCAGCCTCCCTGATAGCTGGGACCAGAGGCACACGCCACAGCACCCAGCCATCAGGCTCTTTAAGTGGCTTTTTCACTTAATAGGTTCTAGGCTGGGCCCTGGCTTCTGCTTCTGAGGCCTCTCCTGCTAAGCCAGGCACACCACAGGGCATGTACTGGGGATTTCCTAAATAGCCCCTACTGGACCAAACCATGAAGTCTCAGCAATCAGGGTAGGATATCCAGCTCTGTCACCCTGGCAGGTTCTTTGCTTCTCTATGTCTTGATTTCTTTCTCCATAAAGTGAGAATTTAGACAGCAAGCTGAGAACCCTTTGGGCTAGCTGTTTGTGGAGGGAGGCATCAGCCCTCCCCAACTGGGACTGGTGGGAAGATCTGGTGAGCACCATAGTATTCTAAACCAAGGAATGGCCAGGTGCAGTGGCTCACCCCTGTAATCCCAGCACTTTCAGAGGCCAAGGCAGGTGAATTGATTGAACCCTGGAGTTTGAGACCAGCCTGGGCAACATAGTGAGACCCTGTCTCAACAAAAAATAGATTAGCCGGGGATCAGGTGTGGTGGCTCATGCCAGTAATCCCAGCAGTTTGGGAGGCTGAGGCAGGTGGATCACCTGAGGTCAGGAGTTGGAGACCAGCCTGGCCAACATGGTGAAACCCCATCTCTGCTAAAAATACAAAACTTAGCTAGGCATGGTGGTGGGCACCTGTAATCCCAGCTACTTGGGAGGCTGAGGCAGGAGAATCACTTGATTCAGAGGTTACAGTGAGCCGAGATCGAGCCACTGCACTCCACCCTGGGCAACAAGAGCGAAACTCCATCTCAAAAAAAGGGTTAGCTTGTAGTCCCAGCTACTTGGGAAGCTGAGGTGGGATGATTACTTTGAGCCCAGGAGGTAGAGGCTGCAGTGTGCCACGATCACTTCAGTGCACTGCAGCCTGGGTGACAGAGTGAGACCTGATCACTAACAAAAGAAATAAACTGAGGGATGCCTCATGGGGTGGGGGGATCCTGTCATTGTGACTCCAACATGATAGTTGGTGGGCTCCCTGCCTTCCTTCATGCCTTCCCATCCTCTCTCTCCAGTGACTACCTGTTTAAGCTGCTTTTGATTGGCGACTCAGGCGTGGGCAAGTCATGCCTGCTCCTGCGGTTTGCTGTGAGTAAGAAGCCTCCCATACCATCCGCCTGGGGTCCTGACTGGCAGCTAGGGGGAGAAGGGACAATCCAGCGCACAGTAATTACGAGATCTGGTAACCAGGGCTGAAACTGTAAGACCTGGCAGCTGCACATCTGCCCTGAATAAGATACAGGGCTGGCCAGCTCGATGCTGGGAATTGGGGCTTGGTGGTTTGGAGACCCAGCTGGGGCAGGGAGCTGGAGGGAGGCTCTCCAAGCCTCAGCTCATTCACTCCATCATTACCCTGGCCCCTGAACTTCCAGGATGACACGTACACAGAGAGCTACATCAGCACCATTGGAGTGGACTTCAAGATCCGAACCATTGAGCTGGATGGCAAAACTATCAAACTTCAGATTGTAAGTGTTGCTCTTCCCAAAACCCCCAGTACAGAGGTAACCACTTTGGGAGGGAAGGGACTCTGGGCGTGGAGCCCCCAGCTGACCTGCTCCTTTGCCTACTGTCTCCTAGTGGGACACAGCGGGCCAGGAGCGGTTCCGGACCATCACTTCCAGCTATTACCGGGGGGCTCATGGCATCATCGTGGTGTATGACGTCACTGACCAGGTACTCCCGGACTAGCCTTTCTCAGCTTGGCCTTCTCAGTCTTAGGTCTTTGACTCTTCTTTTTCCTTCTTCCATCCTCTCTTTCCTGAAGCTTCCTGGAAAGGACACTGTACTTGCCTGTTTGCAAGAACTAACTAGGAAAAGGAAAAAAATAGGTGATTGCACTCGGACTCATTTCACAAGGAGCGAAACAGCCACAGACATGGATCCTCCCAGGGCCCTGCTGCAGCATCTTGTCAGGACAAGGGCTCACACATTCCCTCCCCACCAAGCCAGACCTACCACCTTATTGTTGGCCTTCTGGGCACCTGTGTATTGTGGGAGTTTAGTCAGCCAGTTGGCTGCTATGCTGGGCCTGTGGCTTCCTATGTGAAGACATGGTGCAGAGGACAATTAGAGAGCCTTACACAAAGAAGTGAGGAGGCTTGAGCTCTGTGAGCAAGGCTAGAAGCCCTGTGTCTCCAGCAGCAGCGTTAGCCCCATGTGACTGGCAGTGGTTGTAGCCACAGCCAGAAATGGTCCCATGAAACCTTACAGTTGACAGAATGTGGCCCAGCCCTCAGATTGCTTCTGATGCTCAGAAGAGGTCTGTGTTATGTTCCTGTCGCACAGGTGAGGAGTTGGGCTCCGGATGGTGAGGTGACTTGCCGAGGGGTCTCCAGCTAGTCCAGGAGGCATAAAGCCTGGATGGCTCATTCCACCTGCTTTGTTTTTTTCTACCAAATGTTGCTTAACAGGGCCAAGCTCTGGAGATGAGGAGAAGCTTAAATCAGCCCTGGTCTGGGAAGAGTCCCCATCTGAGGGGCAGCTGGGCTCTTTAGCTCACCAGGAACTCATGATGTCCCAGCTGTTGATGAGCTGTGGGGAAGCTACATACCTACTATCCAGACAGAGGTTACCAAGGCCCTCCTGACTGCCATGTCCAGTGACCTCATTTCAGCTGATCGACCTCTCATGGCTTTGAAGTCTGTTCTCTTCTCTCTCCTTGAAGAGCGGCCTGTCCCACCTCTCTCGTCTCCGGCAGCACTTGATTCTGTATTGTCAGCGGCTCTTGACTGTTTTTCCGGTGGTGCCTCCTGTCACCCATGTTTGCTGCTTCCCAGCTCTGCCCCGGACTCTCCTCCTCACTCTTGTGCATGGCTATGGCCACTCTGGTTTGCTTCTGCCTCGTATTTTGTGATTCCTGCATCTAACAGCTGTGGCTGTGGCTTCCCTTCTCTGTCCGTGTCTGCCCTGGCACTTTCTGTCTGTGTTAATCCTGATCTCAATGATCTCCTCTAGTAAACTAAATGGTGGGGCCTGTGTTTTCCAGATGAGGAGGCTTGGAGAGGCGTTAAGTCACTTGCCACCGGCCTCACAGGAAGGACAAAGCCGGTTTTAGAACTCAGGACTTTTAGCTTTTGAACACACCCTTTCTCATCCTCAGGCAGCTTCTGCAGAATTCAGATGTCCAACACTAGCCTCACTGTTTCTCTCCAAACCAGCGCCTCTATCCCCATTTTTTAAATTTTTATTTATTTTTTAACTAATTAATTAATTTTTTGAGACGGAGTCTCGAAGTGTTGCCCAGGTTGTAGTGTAGTGTAATCTCTGCCTCCCAGGTTCAAGCAGTTCTACCTCAGCCTCCCGAGTAGCTGGGACTATAGGCGTGTGCTACCATGCCCAGCTAATTTTTTTTTGTATTTTTAGTGGAGACAGGTTTTTATCATGTTGGCCAGGATGGTCTCGATCTCTTGACCTCATGATCCTCTCGCCTCAGCCTCCCAAAGTGCTGGGATTACAGGTGTGAGCCACCATGCCCAACAAGTTTTTATTTATTTTAAGACATGGAGTCAGCCAGGCGCAGTGGCTCACACCTGTAATCCCAGCACTTTGGGAGGTCGAGGTGGGCGGATGACCTGAGGTCAGGAGTTTGGGACTAACCTGACCAACATAGAGAAACCCCGTCTCTACTAAAAATACAAAAAAAAAAAAAAAATTAGGCAGGCATGGTGGCACACGCCTGTAGTCCCAGCTACTCAGGAGGCTGAGGCAGGAGAATCGTTTGAACCTGGGAGGCAGAGGTTGCGGTGAGCCGAGATCACATGATTGCCTGGGTAACAAGAGTGAAACTCTGTCTCAAAAAAAAAAAAAAAAAAAAAAAAAATTAGGCAGGCATGGTGGCACACGCCTGTAGTCCCAGCTACTCAGGAGGCTGAGGCAGGAGAATCGTTTGAACCTGGGAGGCAGAGGTTGCGGTGAGCCGAGATCACATGATTGCCTGGGTAACAAGAGTGAAACTCTGTCTCAAAAAAAAAAAAAAAAAAAAAAGACTTGGGATCTTGTTCTGTCACCTAGGCTGCAGTGCAGTGGTGTGATCATAACTCACTGCAGTCTCAACCTCCTGAGCTTAAGGGATCCTCCCACCTCAGCCTCCTGAGTCACTGGGACTACAGGCGTGCGCCACCATGCCCATCTGCATCCCTGTCTTTGTGGCACAATCCTTGTCAGCCTGACCAGAAAACTCTTCCCTCCCCTATGCAGTCAGTCTCAAGTCCCCTTTATTCTCTCCCCATCATCCTTCTCAAATCTGTCCCCTCATAATAGCAGTGATGAGGATAATAGCAGCCCTTGCTAATTAAGCACTTGTTAGGAGACAAGCCTGCGTTCATTCTCTCATGCTCACAGCAGTCCTGGGAGGTGCTATTTTATAGAAATGAGGAAACTGAGGCTCAGAATGGTCAGGTCACATACCTGAGGTCACACAGTAAATGGCTGAGCCAGGGCTTCACCAGCAGTGATCTGACTCTAAATCCTGTGTGCTTCCCTGTCTCGGTGCATGTTCTCTTTCCTGGGTTATTCCAGCCACTTCCCAGCTGGTCTTCATCTTGCTGGTCTGATCTGGCCTCTGCCTCCTGCCAGGACTAGCTTTTCAGACCACAGGTGTGATCCTGCTGCTTCTGGCATAAGAAAATGTCCACTGGCTCCTGCCTGTCCAAGACTTAGCCAGGCTAAGACTGTCTGTGCTCTGCCCTCTGCCCACCTTCCCCTTCTCCCTCCCTCCCTCTTCTCCCTCCCTGCTGAGCATCTGCATCCCAGCAGCATTTCACTTCCTCCCATTCCCCAGAGACACCATGCCCCTCCCATTCTGTGACCTGGCACATGCTAGCTCCCCAGCTGGCACCTCTCCTGCACAAGGCCAGTTCCTACCTGTGGGCTTTGGTCTGCTGTTGCTGCCACCTAGAGCAGAGGTGGTCTGGGGACACCCCAGCCCCTGCCTTCTAACCTGTCTTGCCCTTGTGCGTGGCATGATCTATTCTTCTTCTGTCCCCTGGATGTGATAGGGCAGGGCCCAGGTTGATTTCCCCCTTTGTCCCCGGCACTTAGCACAGGCCCCAACGTGGAATGTGGCAAGAGGTCTAAGTGAGCCAGTGTGACATCACCAGGCCTCTGGCTCCTAAGGAGGAGAAGTGGCCCTAGTTTGAGCACTTTCCTAAAACTTCTGTCCTTTGTTTTCTCTTTTTTCTTTTTTTCCTGGTCTTCTGTCCTTTGTGTGTGGGGCAGGGGCAAGCTGCTGGGAGAGTCTGAAGCCAAGTGAGGAGGCTGTTGGTGTCAAGTAGGATGAATGTTAGGCTCTTCCCAGGATTCCTGTCTCCTCATGGGCCAGGGCCGCCTCTGAGAGGACCCTCAACCTCCGCTGTGCTCCAAGTGTTCAAACCTTAAAGGGATTCTCAGGCCATGCTGGGAACCGTGACTCTTGTGGACCTGTTAACTCTGTTCCTGTCTCCCCTCTGCTCTCTCTTTGCTTCCCACGTGTGGTTAGGCCTGCAAGTGTCCCAGGGAGAGAGACAGCTGCAGGGAGCACAGCAGGCAGGCCCTGAGGTCTGGACAGCTGTTGAGGTGTTGGGGCAACTGGCAGGCTGCTGGGGCTGTCCTGGGTCTCGGATGGAGGAGGCCGGGAGGAAGGTTCAGCCTGGAGCAGAGGGCTTCCTTTCCATCCCTGAGCCCAGGGGTCTGCCTTTTGCAGGGGCCCGGAGCTGCACTATTCCCTTCAGAGAAGCTTCTGTTCTCCATGCCTGGGGGTAGGGGTGAGAGTTGGAAGCAAAATAACTTTGGACCTTGACCCCCTCTAGGAATCCTACGCCAACGTGAAGCAGTGGCTGCAGGAGATTGACCGCTACGCCAGCGAGAACGTCAATAAGCTCCTGGTGGGCAACAAGAGCGACCTCACCACCAAGAAGGTGGTGGACAACACCACAGCCAAGGTAGCGGGCAGGCCGGGCGGCCTGGGGTGGGGGCTGGGGCTGCTGCTCCTCACCTGCTCTCCCCTCTTCTTCTCTCCTCTTCCCTTGTCAGGAGTTTGCAGACTCTCTGGGCATCCCTTTCCTGGAGACAAGTGCCAAGAACGCCACCAATGTCGAGCAAGCGTTCATGACCATGGCTGCTGAGATCAAAAAGCGGATGGGCCCTGGAGCAGCCTCCGGGGGCGAGCGGCCCAATCTCAAGATCGACAGCACCCCTGTAAAGCCGGCGGGTGGCGGCTGTTGCTAGGAGGGGCACATGGAGTGGGACAGGAGGGGGCACCTTCTCCAGATGATGTCCCTAGAGGGGCAGGAGGTGCCTCCCTCTCCCTCTCCTGGGGCATTTGAGTCTGTGGCTTTGGGGTGTCCCGGGCTCCCCATCTCCCTCTGGCCCATCTGCCTGCTGCCCTGAGCCCTGGTTCTGTCAGGGTCCTTAAGGGAGGACACCCAGGACCTGTGGCTGGGCAGGGCGGGGGCCTGCTCTGCTGCTGCCTCTAGGTAACTTTCCAAGATGCCCACCACACACCTTTTTTTTGGAATGAGGGCTCTTCTGTCAGTCTCCCACCCCCGGGTATGCTGCACTGGGTTTCTCTCCTGCCCTTTTTCTTCTCTCCCCCTGTCCAAGAGCTGACAGTCTCCCCAGCCTCTACTGCCCTGGCTGCAGTCAGTGCCCAGGGCCAGGGGGTCCAGGACCTGGGCTGGACCTCAGGACGGGCATGGGGGCCACAGAGGCCCAGCAGCCTACCTTTCCTCTCCCTGCTGCCTCCTCTCCCCTCCCACACTCCCAGCTCGAGCCATCTAGCTGTGGCGGGGTCTGAGTACATCTAGGGCTGGTGGGTGGGTAGTGGTGCTGGGCCTGTGTCTTGAGCCCGGAGGGAGTCTGCTCCTGCCACCCTCTGCCCTGCCAGAGCCAGGCCCATGCGCAGCCTGCCCACTGTGCCCCTTTGTCCCCACGTCAGGCGGAGGCGGAAGACCCACCAAGCCAGAGGCTGGCTACCAGCCTTAACCCTCACTCTGCCAGCACCTTCTCCCTTTCCCCGAGGCAGCACATCTGGCTCACTTTCCTCTCTGTCCCTGGAGCCTGCCAGGGCAGTCCCTCAACCTCTGCCGCTACTTGTCCTCTGGGGAATGTGGGTTCCACCCAGGGTTGTGGGGGGGCTTCTCTGCTCACCCCCTCTGTACCCAGGATCCTATCCCCTGTCCTCTGGCACAGCTGCTTCCTCTAGGAAAGCAAGTCTTTGGTCTCCCTGAGAAGCCATGCCCTTCATGCTGTCTCTTGCCTGTCCCACCTGTGCCCTGCCCTCCAGCTTGTATTTAAGTTCCGGGGCTGCCCCTCGGGGAGCCCCCTGCTCCCAGGTTCCTCTCTGGTGTCATGTCAGGCATTTTGCGAGGAAAAGCCACTTGGGGAAAGATGGAAAAGGACAAAATAAATAAATAAATAAATTTCCATTGGCCCTCGGGTGAGCTGAGGGTTTTTGCAAGGAAGTTGTGGTGGCTGAGTGTGGTCTGTGGTGTAAGCCCAGCTTTGGGGTGGGTGATGCATGGGGGTCCTGGCTTGGTTTCTGTGTTCTAAGGCTGCTGGTAAAAGCACTTGACCCCGTTTCCTGAGGCCAGGAGAGCTGCTTGTGCTTCTGTGGTCTGTCCCTAAGGGCCCA